TTTCTTCATCTTGAAAAACTTTGTTACCAGTAGATATTGCGTTTTTATGATAATTAATGTCAGTATTGGCATTCAGTCATCAAATAGATTTATCTTACTGTATGTCCTTTTTGTAGAACATACGAATGTTAATAGTTGAAGTTTATGATAAAAGATACTTGTTGAAAAAGTTGTTGGTTTGGTGCATATAAATTGAAGCACGGAACCATAAAGCTCCATAATCAGGGTCAGTTATTTGACCATTGCCATCCTCTTGAAGTGGACTGGTTATGTTCCATTGATTGGATGCTTGCATCATGTGAGCAAATGCTTATTCATCAGATTGTTCATGCCCTTGATAACTTGATACTGTTGTCAGATTAGGGGAGTTCAAACCTGAAACCTAAATTAAGGGATGTTTTATTGATATTTCTTTGTCACCAAGCCATATTGATCATCTGTTGTCCACTCAAACATAACATTATCTGCTTTAAATACCATGTTTGATGCACTCAATTATTATAACAAGTCTTATACTGCCTCTTTAGATCTTTTCAGGTAGATTTGTTTAGGATTGCCTAAATGTTTTTCACAAATGCTTTGTCCCATGGGACCTATATGTCTCGTATATATTTGATGTCTATATGTGTTAGTGCTTAGTGGTACCTATATTTGTCTCCTATAACTTATATGATTTACTTCAGCTGTCATGTCAGCATCAATTACTAATGCATTTTGTTTGGTGTATTCTTCCATTTCTTTATATAGATTCACTGTCCGAAATTAACAACCCCCAACAAGTTACTCCGAGTATGCTCTTTTGTCTAATTATGTATCTGAATGATATCTTTTTCAATTATGGACTGATTAATTGGCATTGGTTGGTCCTAGTGACACTATTTAAGATCCTCTTGAGTCATACGTTTTGCTGTTGAGGCTTGTTATTGAGATAACTGGTACTGGAACCTAACCAATAAAGTGTATTATGTCAGATCAGCATCCTCTATCTATCTGTATAATTGTATATCAATGTTTCTCTGGCACTACCGCACCTGCATAATCTACCTTTTTTGTTGAACTTTGGTTGATGTTTGGACCATTGTAATATTCATTTGATCTAGTGGTTGTGTTCTCGAAAATGTGAAAGGAGTAGGTTCAGGAGATATATGCTGGAATACACAATGCTAAATCATGCAATTTTCCTTCTAGGAATTGTCTTAAAGCTTACCATCCTCAATGTGTGGGTAAGGATCCCTCATTCATGGAGAGTGATGAACGTTGGACCTGTGGTAAATGCCTTGAACTCAGTTCTTTCCTACATCTTTTGGTTAAATTGCAGTATCATTGTTTTTTCTGCTGTTTGGTGTAACATGTTTACTCCATTTAATTTCTGGTTGTGGCAAACAGCATATGGTATAATTCTTCAGCAGTTGTTACATTGTGAAAGTATTCCAGAATATAATTTAGCAGTCAATAAGCCTATGAAACCTTCTAGCTGATGAGTAGTCCCCAGTCTCCATATTGTGAGACTGATTGTGTAGAATAGGGAAAACTGTAGGTTTCATGTTAAGTTTGATAGAAAGAAAATTTTCCTTGATAGATCATTTAATGCTGTGTTCTGGACTCTCTCTAACCAAGCTTTGGTAGCAAGCCTTTGATAAACCAGCAATAAGATCTGTTTTTCGGAGTTACTCTGAATGAAGATTGTGATATGGTGATTCCATGCCATTCTTTCTCTTTGGTTTGACAATGATTTGTTGACCTGATGTACCTGACAGGTTGGCATTCTTGCTTTATCTGCCAAAAGGCATCAGCTCTCCAATGTTACTGCTGCCCGAACTCTGTGTGCTACTCATGCATAAAGGAAGCTGAGTTTGTGCAAGTCAAGAAAAGAACAAAGGGCTTCTGCAACAATTGCTTAAAGCTAGCAATTTTAATAGAAGAGAATATAGATGTTGATTCAGATGGGGTATCCTCTGCATAAATCTTCATTAATTATTACAGATTCCTTTGGCATTAAACTTTATGCTTCTGCACCCTTAATTGATTTCTGGAATGATCTTCAATGTTAGCAACTTTTAAAATTTGTATAGCTTTCAGCATTAGTTGTGAACATTTTATTGCAGCACTCAAGTGAAATCTTTCATGTTATGTAAAGGAACTCTGGACAGTTTGATTGATTTGTAGTATATGTCTCTTTTCATTTGACAGATTTTCCTATGTTCCTATCCAATTGAAGTCGAATTTTTCTTATTTCCAGGGAAAGGTGGACTTCAGAGATACTGAGACATATGAGTTTTTGTTCAAGGATTATTGGGAAATAATAAAGGATCAGGAAGGACTGACATTGATTGATCTTCAGGCAGCGAATGCTCTTCTTAAAAGAGGTGAAAATTACAAGGGTGGATCAGATTCTGACAAACTTGAGGAAGAGGATGTCGAATCTGAAGGTGATGATTTGGAAATTAATTCTGACGATGGGTTGTCATTTCTTGAGGATTTGAAAGGGAGATGTGGTAGAATGAAGAAACCAATTAAGAGGTCCAGGTCAAAGAAAAAAGTGTTTATTAGTTGGGGTTCAGTGGAGCTGATAAACTTCCTTATATCTGTTGGTAGAGACACAAATGAACCACTTACACTGTTGGATGCATGTGAAATAATAAAGGACTACATTGATAGAAACAACCTTCATGATCCAGATAATAAAAAGAAAAAAAATGTAATATGTGATGAGAGACTGTATGCTTTATTCAGAAAAAGGAAAGTGAAGTTTCATAAGATAGAGAGTTTGTTGGAGAGTCACTTTGCCACAAATGATGATTCAGATGAAGAAATTTCTTTTAGCTCAGAAGATGGTGACACATTTGGAAGACGAAAGAAGCAAAACACAGGATATGATGAACATAAATTACAGCCAAAGGAATATAAGGAAGATATTTCTGCAGCACCTAAAAGTTGTTATGCTTCCATAGTTAGGAAAAACATAAATTCGGTGTACTTGAAGAGATCTTTAATTATGGAATTTCTTAAAAGTCCTGATACTTTTGAAGAAAAAGTTACTGGCTGCTTTGTGAGGGTGAAGGTAGATCCTGAAGATTTCTACTTTGTTCCTGAAAAGAGGTACAAGCTAGGGCAGGTCACAGGTTTGATAGTGCTCTTGCATGTGTTCACAAAATTTTTAATCAAATTTACATCCAGTTTGAGAAAGGGTCACTTCTCATGACCTTGAAAATGGCATGTTGCAGCAATCAAGATGTGATTTGCTTCCTTAAAAAGAATAGATGATTGTTTCGTCTGTGGTGTTTGGACCTAGAAAAGGCATATATATGATATATCAATAGTATTGCCACTAGGCCATCTTGGCTTTAGTTTCCAAACCTAATAAAGGACAGTATTGATGTTTCTCTGGAAAACTTATCATTCAATTACTTTTTAACAGGTGTTAAGAAGGCTCTACAGACATACAAGGTAGGCACAATGTCCACAGATGTGGTTCTACGTGTTTCCAATTATCATGCGGATGTTCAATTATTTTTTCTATCCGATGATGACTTTGATGAGGTATGCTCTGTGGTTGTTGAACATGTATTGTACAAGAAAAGTTGTTTCACTTTTTGGTTTTTGTAACCTGGATATTTATTTGTTAAAAGAAGAATGACATTTGCCTATAGATAGAATGTTTTATATTTATAAAGTTTGCTAGGATGCTAGTTTCAAAATTCATATTCTTATAGTAAACTACACTTGTGGGTATCTATGCAAGTCCAGTGAAACTTTCCATATCTACGATTGTAGGATGAGTGTGAAGATCTTCTCCAGTTGGCCAATAAAGGCCTTTTCAAAAGACCCACTGTTGTAAGTTTATCTTTCCTAAACTATTTTTGTTGTGATAGAAAACCTTTGAGCCTAGATTTTTCTATTTTGTTCCTATCTTTCTGATAATTATTGTTTGTTACAATAAATAGGTGCCGCCAACTCCAACTATGGGTCGTTTTTTTGAAGAATTTCATAATTTCATTTCCTTGAATAATTTCAAATGTTTTATTGTAAATTTCGTAAGCTGTTGATGGAAATTTGGAGATATGAAGGTCACATTTTTTGTGGCGAACGAAACTTACATGTGTATGAAAAGCTTGTGAACAATAGGGCAAGAGATTGGCTAACATATGGGTTGACTGTTGTCTGTTATATTGTCGCAAAAGTGAACATGGCAGGAGAATAGGAGATATCATATCTCTTGTTCACAAAATAAAATGAAGGATTGTCTTTGCAAATACCATTTCTGTGCTAGTCACTGGTTTGACTGGTATTGTGTCAGCACAAAAGGGAAAAAAAAAAAGATTTCTTAGTTCCCCTTCCCATCTGGTGTCAGAGCCTTGAGGAACACTCTTTGTTGAGCACTTGAAAGTTGAAACACTGGCCGAATTGGACAATTTTTTGGGTGTAGAAGGTGAGCTGAAGAGGGGATATGGAGAGATAGTCAGGTAGAGGAAAATTTGATCAATTTGGTATGTCAAGGGCCTTTTTGGGATGTTTCAACTGGTTTCAGTCGAGACTGATTGGTTTGTAATCAAACTGGTTGAAACTGTGAAATTTTGACCATGCATGAAACTGGGCGGTTTGCATGCAGATCAGAGTATAGAGAGTTCATGGCACTTGATATGGATATAGTTTCATGTCATGTTCTTCCTTGTTTAAGATATTAAGAAAAGAATGAAACCAAAGTTGCATTCTTTTATAAGAAAACATCTCGTGTTTTGCATTCTCATGTACAAGTCAGGAAAGGACAATATTTGAATGGAATATGGATTAGTTGAGCAAGGTGTACAATAATTTGCTTGACCCACATTTCTTGTGCATGTATATAGCCTTCATGAATCGAAATGCATTCTGATTCAGTGGTTCCTGACAAAATATCTCTGAGGTTTTCATAGATCTTAAGTTTAATACAAGTGATTCTTCCTTTTTTCACAGAGCAACAGTGTGTTGAAAATTTATATTTGTTATTTCCATATATCATTATTTTCTTTTCCTTGAAAATTTATATTTGTTTTGCTCATAAAGTAGTTTTTATCTTATTCCTGTCTGTCCTTTGTGAAACATCTTTTGTTAACGCCAAAGCTCTTTCCAGCTGTTGTTGTTGCTGGAGGACAACTGGTAGCCAGTCTTTGTACCGGTTGTCTTTTCCTCCACTCCTTTTTTGATACTCTCTTGTCTTCATTGAGTGGATATTCCTGAATTGCTGAAGTGCCTCACATGCTTGTCGGGCGGCTTCCTTTTGAATTGCTCCGAGTCTTCTTTCCGCGAGTCCCATCTCATTGAGTGGGAGTCCTCCTGGCCTTTGCATTCTGGATTTGAGCTTATCCAGTTCTTGTTGGTATTGTGTGAAGAGGTCACCTGGTTTATTAGTTGACTCAGGTGCATTGCTGCCCTTGGATTCGGCTGGGCTTGAACCTCTTGGGTGGCTTCTGTTAGTAGGAGTATCTGTTCGTTCGGCCATCCTGAAATCAAAATATTTATTAGTCGTGATAAAGAGTCGGCTAGAATATTACTGGTCCCTTCGATGTGCTCAAATTTGACTTCCACGTTGCTTCCGGTAATGTAGTCCACAAAGGCCATCCACCTGACCCTTGAGGGTTTGTTTTGAGCAGACTTGTTGAAGAAGCTTATTATTGCTTGACAGTCCGTTCTGATGATGATCTCCTTTTTATCAAGAAAATAAATTTTTAACACCTCCAGAGTTTTCATGACTGCATGCATTTCAGCGTCTATGGTGGACTTGATTGGACTATATTTTCCACTAGCGTAGGCACATATTTTTTCCGTATTTCTGGGGTCATGTTTCTTTTTTTTCCATTTACAGATTCCTCCCCATCCTTCCATGCATCCGTCTGTTTCAAGTATTATGAAACAGTCTTATGGGGGTACCTCTAGATTTGAGAGATTTTGTACCAGGTTTTTGATGTCTCTAATTAATTTCCAATCCTGTTCGTTTAGCCTTTTCTCTCCAGTTGGGCTTGTTTTTGAATATAACGGGCCTAAAATCCTGCCCAGGTTGGGTATATAGTTTCTTGCATAG